TTTTGGAAAAACCGAATTAATTTCAGACACAAAAACATATTCTCCTATTAACTCCGATCCCACTGACCGAATTAACCGTACTTTTCACAAATTTGTAAACAACTTAGTCTCTAACAAACAAATTACTCCACAAATCTCACTGACAATTAAAAACCTTCACCCTTACACCCAAAAACTATACGGACTCCTAAAATACATAAACACAACGTTCCTCTCAGACCTATCGTGGCTGACCTGAACTCACCTCTTTCAAAATTCTCCAAATACCTTAGCAACATACTCTCTTCAGTCACAGTCAAGTCTCGTTTCTTTACAAAAAACTCCTTTGAACTTGTCAACAATCTCGCGATTCCGTTATTCCTGATAACTCCTTATTGGTTAGTCTTGACGTAGTATCCCTATCACAAACGTCCCCCTACAATTAATTTTAGATGCCATCACTGCTAGATGGGACGAAATCTCTTGTCATACAACATTATCACTGCATTGGTTTCTCGAGTCCATAAAATTCATAGTTTCGAATACTTATTTCGAATTCAACGACCATTTTTACCTTCAAATATTTGGCACACCTATGGGTTCTCCTATTTCCCTTCACTCGCAGAAATTGCTTTACAAACACTTAGAGTTGAAAGTTTTTAATTCCTACAATCTAGACCTTCATTTTTATTACAGATATGTTGATGACATCCTTACTTGTGTTCCTGTTAAAAATTTCGAACTCTTACTTCATAGTTTTAACTCATTTAATGAGCATCTCTCTTTTACGTTTGAAAAAGAACAAGAAAATTCTATCAGCTTTTTAGACGTAAAAATTATAAAACCGCAGACAATCGAATTATCACCAATTGGTTCCAAAAACCTACTTGGTCGGGTAGGTATTTAAATTATCATTCTACCACCCTTCTAGCATGAAGATAGGCACTATTATTAATTTAGTCGACCATGCCATCCTACTCTCAGACAAACAATTTTGGCCTCTAAACTTATCCCTCATCCGCACAACTTTAATTAACAACTCATATCCACCGCACCTCATCAACTCCGTCACCTCCAACAGACTTAAAACCTTAACAGTATGCATTCTTCTTTTTCCCCAGAAAAAAATTCTAAAGACAATAACTATATAGGCAACGTTTGTTTACCTTACGTAAAAGAACTTTTTCCAGTGTGGAAAAAACTTTTTCATAAGGTAGACATCAGACTAACCGCAACATAGATCTAACTCTTAAATCCCTCTACACAAACCTGAAATCTCCCACTAGTATAGAACGTACTTCCAACATTGTTTACAAAATAAATTGCAATGATTGCCCTTCTACTTACATAGGTGAAACCGGACAAAATTTAATAAAAAGACTCAAACAACACGACAATAATTCGAAAAACCCCAACCAAAACCAAACTATGATAACAGAACACATAAAAATTTCAAACACTCCTTTAACTTTATAATGCCAGTATTCTCTACCATGAACGGAACACCATTCAGAGACGTTTTGCAGAATCTTGTTTCATATCAATATGTGACCACGTGGTGAACAAAAGATCGGATTCCTCCTTACTCTGCGATAACTACCAAGTAATACTAAATAATGTTTCCAAATTTATCTCCTCTGAACAAAACTAATTGACCTTACTAACCTTGCCAACACTTCCTAGTTTAACTTCGACCTTGATACCCGAGCTTTACCTACCC